AGGTGGCCTGCTGCAATCCGAACTACTTTTTATAGCCTAGCTAGGTTCAATTTCATGATTTGAATGGATAGCTTACGCTTTTCCTATATGCTGCGAAAAGTAAAGTAGCCGCAGACAAAGCGCAAAATGGGTACATTTGTGACCGAGCAGCTGCATCCTTTACTAAATCCCTTATATTTCTGATTATGCAGTATTGCCGCATGTGATTACGTTTCATTGCACATGCATTGTGTGAATGCAATGCTCGTGAGACGCGTAATTTATGAAATGAAAGCCAGATTTGAGACTAACAAACCCTCCTCCTGATCGGCGGTACTTCTTATTCAGAAAGTAGAATAACTTGACAATTACTTTAAAATATTAGCAAATATGCTGGAGTGAACAATCTATTTGAGAAAATATAGGCAGCTGAACAACCCTACTAAGGTCCTGATGTTAACATCCTGTCAACTCTATAAAAATATAGAGGAATCAGTAAGTGTGACATCGGGTAGATGTATAAGGAGACAATAACACTTCCTTCAGTAATGTTATCTTTTCGGGAAATTTCGATGATAAAAATAGTTAAATTAATTTATAGTTACATCTATTGATAAGCTAGCAGTAGGTAAAGTAGATATAACGTGTAACACAGAACACGATATTTATTTATCTCAAGTTAGGCACTTTCCAGATTAAGGAAACTCTTCAGTTTAGCCAAAGATCAGGGAATGTATAGACATTAACAAAACGACTAACGTCATGATCGAGGGAATCGGATTAGAAAAATTGGTCAAAAGTACAAATGACACTTAGGTATTGTTAGGGGGACCTTCATTTCGAATAAAAGTGCACGAATAAAAAAATATTCGTTGGTCGATCTCACCAAATGAGGACGGATGAAACTCGTTGTACTGCAGCCGTTTGGCTTTTATACGATATTCATGTTGACGCAGTCAACAAAACTTCCTCCCTCGTTTCGGGTGAAAACGTATTGAGCTTTCGTCCATCACATGATGGACATCATCAGAGCTGGGTATCATTCTTGTAAAAGTCTCACGTTAA